ATACAACTTTTTTTTAAAAAAAAATTATTCATTATTTCATGAAACAGTTTTTTTTAAAAGATTTATTTTTTTTTTATTACAAAGTCAGATATACACAGAGGAGGAGAGACAGAGGGGAAGATCTTCCGTCCGATGATTCACTCCCCAAGTGAGCGCAATGGCCGCTACTATGCCAATCCAAAGCTGGGAACCAGGAACCTCTTCCAGGTCTCCCGCATGGGTGCAGGGTCCCCAGACTTTGGGCCGTCCTCGACTGCTTTCCCAGGCCACAAGCAGGGAGCTGGATGGGAAGTGGAGCTGCTGGAATTAGAACCGGCGCCCATATGGGATCCTGGGGCGTTCAAGGCGAGGACTTTAGCCGCTAGGCCACGCCGCCGGGCCCCTTGAAACAGTTTTATAGGCTCCAGGATTTCCCTTCCTCCCTCCCCAAGTTCCAGCCCTCCTCACTATAAATTCAACCTTTACCTCTTTTTTCTCCTTTATGTTATTTGAAAAGCAGAGCGACTCTCTCCCATGCATACAGCAGCCACACTGGGCCAGTACAAACCCAGGAGCCAAGAGCTCCGCCCAGGTCTCCCTCGTGGGTGCCAGGGACCCAAGTACTTGAGTCGTCACTGCTGCCTCCCGGCGCGTTCATTCGCAGGAAGCTGGATCAGAAGTGGAGAAGCTGGGATTTGAACCGGGCACTCAGATCAGGCTGTGTGTGTCCTAAGTGGCCATTACTGCACACCCACACCTGCCTGCCGGAGTCCAGCTCCAGCTGAGTTCGGAGCTCGGGAAGGGTGCGTGGAGTCGGCAATAAAGAAAGACACAGACACTTGTTGCGTTTTTGCTGCTTCCTTGCTTCTTGCTTGCTTGCTTGCTTTCAGCTTCACCTTTTCAAGAAGAAGCTGTTCTTTTTATTTTCTTAGACACATCACAAACTTCTGCACAAACGTTTGATTTTTTATCTTTTACTTTAGAACTAAGACAGCATGCACAGATGTTCAATTAATTTTTACTTCATGGTCAACCAGGTGCTCTTAAAGATAATTCTGTAAGTTACTATAATCAGTTTCTTTAAAGCAAGCCGTTATTCATTCTTCAGAAGTGGCCACTAGGTGACAGCCAGAACTCCAAGGCCAAGGCACAGATGGTTACCTACTAATTAGTAAAACATTCTTACTACATTTTATTTTCACAACTTTATCTATTACATAATGGGAGAAATACATCAAATGAGAAAAAATATAAGGGTCTAAGACAAAAAGTTTCAAACATTAAATCCCCCTACGACTGCAGGCTCTACAGCCTCATAAGCAATCAAACAATAATCAAAAGTATATCTCTGTGATGTTAATAGAATCATCCTATATTTCCTCTAGTTAAAAGATTATGAAAGTGGCTAAAGCAGCTACATTTTCTATGCTCTAAAGAGTTGCAAGGACAGGTTAACCTTTAAGGTCACAGCAACTATATTTTTGCCATAGCAGTTTCAGCTCTTACTCCCATCACTTCCATTAGTTTGTAAGATTCTTGTTAAGCCGTTTCCCAGAAGGCATGCTATATGTCTGGGCCCGATTTCAGGGCAATGGGTAGGCACACAATAAGGTGTCCAGAAATGGAATGGGTTTAATTGTACTCCTGTGCGCAGTTAAAGGCCCACTCACTAAGACATTATCAATTGTTGCCAGCCGCATCTGTATGTACTGGCCACATGCCGTACCCAAAATGGCGCCGGCCGGAGAAGCCACACCTTCGTGCCTGGTAGAGAGTCACGTAGCTTTCACAGTACTGCGCAGGCGCCTAGCGCATGCGCAGTGAGCTGCGGCGTGGCCGGCACGTGAACACTGGGGACTGACGAATCCGGTCGCCCAGGACCCTGCATGATCATGACGCCGACCTATCATCGGCGGAGGCGGGGCCAGTCAGCACATAAGAGCAGACAGCCTGCCGGGGTCGCCCCTTCCTCTTCCTCATCTTGGTGCGCGCAATAAAGTCTACCGCAGAAGGCTTCACTCGCGTCTGCCTCTTATCGCTGGATGATAAGACACGTGGGCGCGACAATCAATAACATTAACTCTTAAGCTCACAGTAGTTGCCAAAGCCATCTCACAGGGGCAAACAATGCCTCAATAGAGTACAGAGTTCTTAGTGGGGTGCTTGAGTGTCCATGCAAACAGGGGGTGAGACTGCGTCAAGGTGGTCAGAGAGAAATCACCGGGCCCTGCCAAACAGTTGGAAGCTCCCCAGGCCCTGCCAAGCAGGGAGCTGTTCTCTTCACACCTTCATGTCATCCACACCTACTGCACGGACCCCAGCACCTGCCCATGTTGGTTTTATGAGTCACAGACTCTGTAGTTGGCTCTCGTGGCTTAGATAGCTCATGAACTGTGGGCTGACTCTGTGTGTGTGAGTGTGTGTGTGTGTGTGTGTGTGTGTGTGTGTGTGTGAACTTAGGTTATACCAACAATGTAGTTGTAGAACTTTCACAATCAAAGCTAAGTGATACTCTTCTCAAACATGTGCTACCCTGTAGGATCTTTCCTTGGGCATATTGTGGATTCCAGATTTTGTTTATATCCCCCAGACATTCGCTACTTGCTATGTGTGAGAGCTCCCAGCAGCTTGTTCCCAAAGTTACACCCTAGACATCTTTGAGACATAATCACTTCCCATTGGCAGGACACACCCATGCTCTCCTGTTCCTTCAGCCCCAAGGTTTGGCACCAGCCTCCATCCCAGAAACTCAGTGAAGGATTAGCTTATGGCAAAACATGTACAACAACAAAAATTGTGGATTTCAAAATGCTTTTAAACTAAGATACTTATCACTTTAAAAACCAAACTCATTCAAAAGGGAGAGAAACAGCATTTTCCCCTCCACTGATTCACCCCCTAAATGCCCATGGCAGCCAAGGCTGGGCTATGCTGAAGCCCAGAGAGGAACTCCATGCTCACTTCCCACGTGCGTGGAAGGGCCCACGTGCGTGGAAGGGCCCACGTGCGTGGAAGGGCCCACGTGAGCAAGCATCCTGAGGTGAGGGGCAGGCATCCCACACACTGGCTTCACCACTGCGCCAAACACTTGGCCCCCAAACAAACTATTCCTAACTCCATATCAAGTCAATATCAAGTGCAAATACTTTCTCCCATCCTATTGTGATTTTTTTTCCATTTTATTGTTTTGTTGTACAGAAAGTTTATTTTAAGAAAGATTTCTTTGAAAGGTAGAGTTGCAGTAAAAGAGAGATCTTTTATTTACTATCTCTTTCCCCAAATGGTCACAAAGGCCTGGGCTGGGTCAGGCCGAAGCCAGGAGCCCAGAATTCCATCCAGATCCCCTACCTGGGTGGTAGGGCCCAAGCATTTACACCATTATTTGCTGCTTTCCTAGGGAGCTGGCTGGAGGCGAAGCAGCTGGGATTGAACCAGTGCCCGTACAGGATGCCAGTGTCTCGGGCACTGGCTTAACCCACTGCCCCCACAAAACTGGCTCCAAGAGTCAATGCTAAGTGTCCTTGCCATCCTGACTCCCCATCTACCCCAGACAATAGCTCTGTTGGTGATGTTTGTGTTAATGAGTTGTAATCATTTCACAATGTATGTGTATGTTCAACTAGCACATCTTGAAAGTATACAGCTCCTGTTGGCCATCCATACCTCAATAAAGCTGGGAGAAATACTATTTTTAATTTAAAAAATAGGGTCAACGCCAATCCTGTTCAAAAACGACCATGAAAAAAAATGCACCTTGCTCTAATGACAAGAATCTTCCAATTAGAGCTTGCAAAAACACTAATCTGCGAAATATCCACGCATCTTGAATTCTAACCAAAATCTGTGTTTCGATTTCACAACCTAAAGTGTAAGCTGAATGTTTATAGTTCACGTATGGCTGCTGCCTAAAACCTCTCTTGCCAGTTAGGAGCTGCTCCCTAGCTAATACACGTGCTGGTCTTACACGTCACTCCTACTAGACCATTTGGTGAGGAAAAGCGGTGTTGATAATTCCACCAGAACTACAGACACAAACTGGGACTGCCTCAAGCACGCTGAGATTTATACCTCCCCAACAGGCCCCCAGTTTTAAAGGTACTGACATATTACTTGCACAGTATACACGTAGCACTCATTGCTGGTACAAGTTACATACTTGGCATAATGTGTGTATTCCGTCTAAGTCATCTATTATATTCTATACGATCTTTAAAAATGAAAATAGCAATGTCAAGTTCAGTCGGTGGCAGTTTTCAATCGGGTTTGTCTTCATACATCCGGCAGGATCTTCAAATGCATTCAGAATTTGCATAACTGGTCCTCCCAGCAAGTCCTAATCAGTGATAACTCCATTGCCTAAAATAGACACTGTCCAGTGATGGCTCACAGTCTGTTCCCACAGAGCACGCCAAGATCCGCGGGCTCCCTGGCAGAAGGCTACTCGACTTGTGGGTGGATTTTAGTTCAACTTCTGGAAGGCTTACTGTCTGGGCGGGGGTTCTGGTAAGACCCCGAACAAGCTATTTATCTGTGTCTCTGTCACCCACTTCCACAGGATGTGTACAGCAGGAAGTTGTGCTGCCTGGAACGTGTATCTGCCCACTCCTCTAACCCACACACTTGCTTCAGGCAGCAACGGAAAGGCCACTGCTTGGACTAACGATGCAAAATACAGGGAGCAGAAACAAGACTCCAAAGAGACAGTGTTTGAGACTGGTGCTGCGCTGTAGTCAGTGGACGAAGCTGCCACTTGAAATGCTGGCATCTCACCTGCATGCCAGCCCACCTCTGACCCAGCTCCCTGCTCAGTGCCTCGGTGGCAGTGCCTCTGTTTTCACAGGTGATCCCACCAGGCACCACTCACATTTCACTTCACATCTGGAACTCAACAGCTGGGTCTGGACCCCTTCAAACCATGACTCCAGGGTGTGAAAATGAACATCTCCAGTATTGTACTTCCCATTCTACCACCACCCTTTCACAACACACACACACACACACACACACACACTACAGTAGAATCCTCATTGAAAAGTGCTTTATTTCAAGAAACTCTAAGTCAGGTGCATTAAACATATCCAAACATTACCAAAAAATGCATGGCTCCCTACTGAGGCCTTGTCAAATTGTGTTAAGATACCTAAGCATACCAGTTTGGAAGTTCAGAATCAAAGATGGAACCAGGTCATGTACCATGGTTGAAAGGGGAATTATTTTAAAGTACACTTCACAATGCTAGAAACAAGTGTGGAACCCCTTATTTTAAAACAAACACAAAACAAAAGAAACCACTAGTGACTATACACTGGGGACCCTCAGCCTGGGGACACAGTCCTGCAAGGCACCTGGAAGACGCCAAGGGTAAACTGAGGCTTCCCTTCACAGCTTGTGCATCTCCTGTGCTCAGTCCAAACACGTGGCAGGTGTGCAACACTCCAAGCCAGGGCACACACTTGCCATCCCATCTGGAAGATGGGTGCCCCCATAGGCTTCACTTCTGCCTCGCTATGAGACCCCAGACTGTCACCTCTGATGTGCGAGAGATCATAAAGCCACTGAAGCCACTCACCGGTGGCTACTGCTGTCTGGACCCCAGGCTACTCCTCTGCCTCCCCACTCATCTCTGGCATAGCGGCTCAGGAGCGGAGACCTGTAGTTCCCAGTTCCTTCCTGGAGACATAGCTCTGACGCATCAGTTACTTAGCTTTGAAACAAGATACTACTTAGGGGGCGAGGGGCAGGAGTAGTGGGGATGATGGTGGTGGGTTGTCATTGCTTGCCTCTTGGTTTATTTAAGAGAGCATCTCTTAAGAGTTTCCTGTACCTTCTACTCCTCCCTCTTGACAACCATCCAATCTCACAGAAAAGAATTCTGGCCAAGATGGCTCTGAGTGGAGAAAAGACCTTTTCAGGGGATGCTACACACTGCAGGTGAGAGGATAAAATGTCTTGATCTGACCATTTCTAAGAGAAGGCTTCTGTGTGCTTCTCAGTGGGGAGGAGAGTGGAGCTGCCTTCCGAGCCCAGGTCTCTCCCTGTGGATGGGTAGCTGACAGCCCCAGACTCGCTGCCTCAACCTCGACTCCGACTCAAAGTCCATAGCCCTGGGGGCCAGCGGGCAAACTCCAACGTGCCCACCCTTTATGCCTGCCAGCCCTGCCACCTTCCCCCGTGCCAGTCGTCACCTTCCTAACACAGTGTAGGCAAAGTACATGACCTTGTGCTTCATGGCACCACCCCAGCCAGATGGGCTCAAATTTTCCCTTCACTTGCTCACCCTGTCACCCAAGTCCCTGGAAGAAAGAAAACAGCCGGATGTAGCTAAACTACTTTGCACAAGTTGGGGTGTGTGGGGGTGGTAAAAAAAAAAAAATCCTTATAAATTGGCCTTTTGTTCTTCACACGATTTCAGGTTCATTGCCCACAATTACATAAACCTACACAAATCAGCTGAGGAGTTCAAAGCTGCAGCGTCATGCGATACCAGTGAGAAGAAAATCCTGCTGGCACTACAGCCAAGCATCTGTCTCGGTACTGCTTTTGCCACAAGCTTTCCAGAATTCCAGGCCAGCTCTTAGGATGCTCTCAGCAGGGGAGGCCTGACCGGAAAGCGGGTGCTGCCTGGCGAGCAGGTGCAGAGTATAAGATGTGCGGGCCCCACACTCTGCCCTTGACCTGCTAAGTCTACCTCTCTGTTGCTACCAGGCAAGCTGGGCACAGGGTGACTTTTCCAGATGGAACACTGGGCAATACTCACCAAATCAGAATTATCCTAAGCCAGCAATCACCCTCGCATAAGGGATGGTGGTCAGCCTTCTGCTCCATGCAGATTGGTTCCCTCCAGTCCGCCAGGGAGAAACACTTAAGATCAAAATCAGCCGGAAGAGTCTTCTCCAAATCCTTTCCCCAGACACCAAGCCCCAGAGGGGCACTTCTTTCACAAACCTGCTCTTCCTCATGGATAGCAGAGTCTCTTCCAGCCCTGACCTCTGCTCTTTGTTCCCCAGCTGTTGCAGCAGCTGGCTTGTGTGTGTGTTTGAGACCAAGTCCCTCCGAGTTTTCACACACCCATGGGGCTGGTGGAATTGTCCCCATGGAGGGACCGGGCTAAACGATGCCTGGTAAAGTGCCAGGCACGGGCCAGCAAGCCAACAGTGAGGTCACAGCATGACCTCCTGTAGAGGCTAGGGAGGAAGTCACAGGTGCCCAGGGCAGGAATGGCTGTGCCAGCATTTGGAGTTCCCACCTGGTGGATCTCCTTCCTTCAACTGCCCCGCTCCTCAGCCTTCCTCTAGGCTAAAGTGAGGGTATGGGGGGAGGTGCACCCTTTTCCAGCAAGGTGCAAAGACACCTGCTGCCAGGGGGTCCTGGTTTTACCTGGTTGACCTCCACAGCTTCCTCTCCCCTTCACTGGGGTTGTGTCTAAAGATCTCCAAGGTGGCTGCACAGAGAGGTTGAGAAAAACCCCTTGTCCACACAGGTGCATCCCTGAGCCCCACACTGGGTCAGCACCAGCAAGAACCCTCATTCTCAAGTCCAATTCCACACACAGGGCACGGGCAGAATCCACAGCTAGGAAGAAGACGTCCTGGCTTCAGATGCACAGCTCCAGCTCCAAGTCCAGGACGACCCCCTAGGAGGCTGGAAGGCTTTCATCACCTCTGCCAGGGGGCCCTCCACAGGTGCACTGGGAGTCCTGACACCTGCTGGCCACTGCCCCAGAACCAGCCAGTCAGCGCCAGGTACTCCTCAGTAAGAGCTTTGCCTCAGGAGACCCGTTCTTTAGCCCCAGGAAGCCTGGAAGACAGAGGCCAACAGCTTGGCACACCCTACAAGAAAACCCACGCCCTGGCCTCCATGACGTGGTTGTGGAGCTGGGTATCGGAAGAGAATCCATTCTTTGCAGGCTTCCATGGGGAACATCACATGCACCTTCATTCTTTCCATGATCTTGGATTCCAGTGTAAACATGTGGGCTTATTGCATCTACCCCTTGATGGTTCTCTTGTTCTTGCCATCAGACCTGCCCCAAATGTATGAGACTGTTACCTCGTTCATCTCCAAGGATCTGATATTCACCCATCCTTCCAGACATCCATGGAGAAGCTCTAAATATAAATATTCCCAACAATGCACCTGCAGAACCGCCTCTCCTTCTATACACGGGCAGACATGCTAGGTGGCTCCCTGGCACCTGGCAGAAGAAACCTCTGCTTTAGCTGAAAGCCACTTCAGCTCAGACTCCTCTGAATTCCCCTGCTGGTCCCACAGCTTGCTGCTGGGACTTCAATTGCATGTGAAATTGCCAGGGAGCCACACAGACACAGATACCACATAGCGTTTGGGTCTTCTAACAAAAAATCAAGAGTCCCCTTGTGGGTCAAAGAAGAGAGCGCAGGGACCTGGGGAGGGGGGGCCAACTGCTGGGTTCTCCCTCCTGCTCCAGGGAGCACGTGATGGTCGACCAGTACAGGAGGTTTACAGGTCACGATTTTTCCAGAAGAGAAGTGCCCAGCATTCCGACAGCCCTCTCTCGTCGCTGACAGCCCTGGGGGAGGTCAGGAGGCCCCGGCACCTGTGCCTCAGATGGTAGCCGGGGTCTCAGCAATCTCCTCCAGCCTCTGGCGAATCATCAGCCGCAGCACGGTGTACCTAGGGGGCGAGAGACGGCCACGGTGGAGCGCAGGCAGCAGCCCTGCTCCTCGTGTTCTCCCTACCGCCCAGGTAACCATCCCACCCCCTCTGCTTCCAGCACTGGCGCACTCCTTAGCCAATGTGTTGCTTATGTTCATGAACGGAATACAAAGGAGTCCAGATCCGAATCAGATGACTGACAAAGCCTTGCAGAAGAACCAGGGGAAGGTGAACATGACCACAGCACCTCCACCTTGCATCAATACCTGCTTTTTGCAGAAGCACCTGCAGCAACCACTAGACAAGAAGAACTGAGTTTGTGAGTGAGTCTGGCTTCCCCAGAATGTCATGAACTCCAGCCCTGTATGGAGCGGGCACCGCACAGGGCTCCAGGGGGATATATCCCTTATGTTTAGGGCTTTGCACAGTTAAGGGTTAGGGTATAGAATGTGTTCAACAAACGTTATTCTTGATAGCCGCAAATAAAGCAGTGGCCTTGTTATCCAGTGAGTGAGGAGCCAGAAGCCAGAAATCAGACCCAAATGCTCTGATGGGGAACAGGGGCATACCAACTGGCATCTTCGTGCTAGCCAAACTGCCTGCCCATCCCCTATTTCCAAATCTAGACTCCACAAAATTTTAGACTGACACCTTTCCCCTCACTCCCAGGGTCTCTCCATAAGAAAAGGGACAAATGAAAATTTGATACCGCATGTCAAAATGAAAAGCTGATACCGGAGGCAGAGAGGCCATCAGCTGTCAGTTCCCTGCCCCATGTGAGACCCAGATCGGTCCCTGAGCAATCCCTCACAGAAGACCCCAAGACCTTGACCCCAGCAGCCCGGAGCAGTCCCTACGGCAGCTCTCGGGAGAAGGCCAAGCTGCAAGGCCGGGCCACACTCACTTGCGCATTAGCTTCTTGACTTCCCGGTCTTCCTCCTCCTGGAGCTTCTGAATGAAGCTCTTGAGCACCGGCATCTCGAATTTTATGTACTGGGCCACCTGGGGCGGGAGAAGGGGTCTGAGCTGCACCTTCTGCCAGAAGGCTCCACACACCCTCCACCCCCAGGAGGCTGCATTCCTTCCCTGAAGATGACCCCTTCGCTGACCCAGTGCCACCCGCACCAGTGTGCAATTTGGGCCATGATAGACACCACCACCACCCCCCAAAAAAAGCCCTTGCTCTTGACACAGTGATGCGGAAGAAAAACTGAACCCACAATAGCTCATCCACTGTTCTCCCCAAAAGAGTTTAAGGAATTACTCAGAATGGCAATGTCTCCACCCTCCAAACTGACACACCCCAATGTGAACTAGCCCTCCCGAGAGGCTGTGGGGTGCTCCCAGACGCATGAAACAACCATTCTCTCCTGCTCACCAGAATATTCTCCCACCCCCAAATATATCAACTCTTTTCCCCAGAGAGAAGTAGGTGGATCCATCCTACCAGTGCTGGCCGTGGCTATGTGTGACCAGGCTCGGTCAGTGAAGGGATGAAAACTTCACGTTTGCCAAATCGGAGTGGGGTCCCCAAGGTGCTGGCGGGGTCTGTACTTAACCTCTCCAGGAGCATACCCCAGCAGCCCCTTAAACCTTGGGCTCTGAATGGCGCACATAGGGCCAACCTGAACAAGCTCACAGCCTAGAGCAGAGCCACTGTTACGGGCCTGCAGAATAAGAAGCTAAACTAGTAAACAAATGCTAATACAGAGGGGGGCGGTGTTTGCTAACACATGAGATCAAATCCCTGACTACGTTCTCAATGGCATTCAGAGATCTTTTTCAGAAGCTTCCTAACTTTCCTATAGCATCCAAGAAAAGCCTGAGAAATACACCCTTTCCCTAGAAATGGCTCTTCAGCAGCTCCTACGGGGCTTCGCTCTCAACCTGTCTTCAAGAACAGCAGAAAGAGGAGCTGGGTCCTTGGCCAAAAGGTGGTGCTGCCCCCGTCCTGTCCCACCCCACCCCGCCACTGCACTCTCCACTGCTGCAGACCCCACCAAAGCATCACTCCTCTGGCTAGGCCACCGGGCCCCATGGTGACTCACATCGTAGGTGACTTCCTCCACCTGGTCCTTCTCCATCAGGAACACTTTGGACACCTGCTCGCAGGGGCCCTGGAGAATTCGGGCAATCAGAGGGTAATCGGTGGCCTTCAGCTTCTGTTTCTCTGGAAGCACACAGACCGGAAACAGCCCTGAGTGTGGCCTGAGGCCTTCGTCCCAGGAGGGGCCAAGGTAGGGGCCCAGGAGGACCACACAGTGTAAGGGAGGCAGCTTCATAGATGAACTTTATGAAACAGGTGTCAGTAACGGCAGGCCCTGTGATCCCCTCCCCCCAACAAGATCATTGGGCCTTTGACCTCTCAGTCAACTCCACTGTGCCGGAGTGGGTCCGGCTGTCTCGGAGTGGATCCGGCTATCTCAGAGTGGGTCCGGCTGTCTCGGAGTGGGTCCGGCTGTCTCAGAGTGGGTCCGGCTGTCTCGGAGTGGGTCCAGCTATCTCTTGTGAAAACCCCAGCCGGGCCTGCAGGTTTGTTTACACCCAAGCAGGGCCTCATTCCCCTGCAGCCTCACTCCACCCACCGCCAGCTTTTAAGGCAAACAGTGTTCAGAGGTTTCCAGGACCCAACAAACAAGCCAATGAAGCAGAGGGTTGTTTTTTTTTTAAGCTTGCTATTTTGAGTTAATTAAAAGTTTCAAAGGACACTGTTCTTCAGACTTACCACCGCTGGTATGGACCACGTACAAAGCAAACTCCTCTGCCGAGTTCTCAATCTGATCAGAACCAAAAGAGACTGGTTGAAAGCAGACTTAAGCATTCCGACACGAAGCCATTGCTTCTTTAACACCGTAAAGCTAAATCAGTTTTACATTGTTTTGTTTTCACATTTATTTGAGAGTCAGAGTTAAGGAGACGGAGATCTTTCCTCTCCTGATTCACATGCAGCAGCAGGGGCTGGGCCAGTTGGAGGCCAGGAGCCAGGAGCATCACTCTGCTCTCCCACGTGGCGCAAGAGCTCAAGGACTTTCCCCACCTTTCATTGCTTTCCTAGGCACATTAGCAGGAAGCTCAACAGCTAGTACTCAAACTGGTACCCCTGCAGGATGCCAGCATTACGAGTGGCAGCTTAACTTGTTATACCACAACCCTGGCCCCGATTCTAGATTCTTGTAAAGCACGGGCTGTTTGTGTACAGCTCTCAGAAGTGATGAGCTGGGGTCCGGCGTGTGGTGTAGTGGGTTAAGACGCTGCCTGCAGTGCTGGCATCCTCTATCGGAGCTGCTGCTACCTGCTTTTCGTTCAGCTCCCTTTTAATGCACCTGGGAAGGCAACAGAAGATGGCCCAGGGTCTCGGCCGACCACGTGGGAGATCTGGATGGAGTTTTAGCCTCCCGGCTTTGACCTGGCTCAGCCCCGTTTGAGACGTGAACCTCAAATAAAAGAGCTCTTTTTTTCCTTTCTCCCTCTTTCTGTCATCAAGTCTTTCAAATAAAGAAAATAATAGATTTTAAGCAAAGTGAAAAAAACTGGACAGACTACTTCATAATAACAGAGCATCCCTAGTCAAAAACGGAAAGTGAAGGGGAGCTAAAATCCAACAGAGAAAGAGCTGCTTTGCTTATTTGCTTTTTGTTCACATATGTCTTTGACGGAAGAAAGAGACAGAAAGACAGCAAACCCCATCTGCTGGTCGACTTCCCAAATGCCCATGAAGGCCAGCATGAGCCAAGCTGAAGCCAGGAGCTGGGAACCCAGTGGGTGGCAGGCACCAAATTACTGGAGCCATCACCTGCTACCTCCCAGGTCATTAGCAAGAAGCCGGAATGAGGAGCAGACAGCTAGGACTCCATCTCAGGTACCCAGAAAGGAACTTGGCTGTCTAATCCAGGGCCTGTGCTCGCGGGCCGCACGCTCTCTGGATCCCTTTAAAAACAAGACAAGCTGCTCTTCAAGGATTACACGAAGGTGATGAAAAGCGCAGAGTAAGCGCGCATCTAGTCACACGGTGTTTGTGCAGAGTTTCCCTAACTCTGTTCCTGAGGTCATTCTGCACACTGATCCCCAAATCAGAGTTCAGGCCCCAAGGCCTCGTACAGGAACCCCGAAGCCCACAAGGCCTGATGCTTCTTCTGCACTGGTGGGTACCAGGGCTCCCTGCACACCTGCAGACACACTCCCTGGCCTCACCCGCGGAGACTCAGCATACATAGCACGTGGCCCAAGAGTCTGCCTTTTTTTTTCTTTTTTAAAGGCTCATTTATTTTTATTGGAAAGGCAGATTTGTGAAGAGAAGATAAAACAGAAAAAGATCTTTATCCGCTGGTTCACTTCCCAATGAACACATCGGCCGAAGCTGAACCAATCTAAAGCCAGGAGCCAGGAACTTTCCCCAGGTCTCCCACGCGGGTGCAGGGTCCCAAGGCTTTGGGCTGTCCTCTACTGCTTTCCCAGGCCACAAGCAGGGAGCTGGATGGGAAGCAGAGCAAGCAGGGCACGAACCAGCACCCATATGGGATCCCAGTGCTTGCAGGGTAAGTGTGTAGCCACTGAGCCATCACACTAGGCCTGAGGGAATCTGCTTTTCTAACAAGCTCCCAGGTGGGGCTGATGCTGCGGAGTCTGGCACCTCCTTCTCCCCAAAAACCCCATGCTCTCTCCATATCCCTCACCATCACCCCACTGGTGGCTCCCCAAGATGCACATGTGACTCCATCCTCCCCTCAAACCAGGAACTTGCCTTAAATTTGTTGAGCAGCAGCTTAAGCACCTGCGGCGTAGTCATGGTGCTGTTGATGCGGACGTTGGTGACAGAGCCATAGGCCGGTGTGAACACAGACGTCTGCAGTGAGAGGGGTCCAGCTCAGAGCAGGGGACAGGCACACAAAGCCACCACCAGCTGGGCATAGGGGAACAGGGGTCCTCCAGCTGGGCTGGGCGACCCTGCAGTGAGAGGGGCCCAACTTGGAGCAGGGGTGGGGACAGGCACACATTGCCACCACCAGCTGGGCACAGGGGAACAGGGATCCTCCAGCTGGGCTGGGCGACCCTGCCAGCACTGGGATGTGGATGTAAAGCTGCCCCAGGCCTGCCCGCCTCAGTTCATCCCCTCACACACACCACCATCACCACCACCAGGAAGCTCATTGAACCAGTCAGGCACCCAAATTGAGGAAGGGAGATCAGATCAGAAAATCGTAGCTTCTCTCCAAACCAAACACTCACAAGGACTCCTCCACCGGGATTCTCTACCATGAGGCTTCTTCACTTGGAGAGATTTACCCAGGGTTGCAAGGTCACTAGCTGTGTTCCAGGGACCTTCGAGGACACAGCAGGCCATGCTTGGAACATGGCCTGAACCTACCCCCACCCAAGGTTCTGCAAGGTTCAGGCACATGGCTGGCTGCCTGTCCCATGAGGAACTTTGTGTCCGCAGCTCTGAGATTACAGCTGCCCAAGAGCGCATCTGTCCTTCCCATCCCCGAGGCTGCCCTTCCCATGCCCTTCTCCCCATCCACCCAACCTTGTGGTTATAGTAATGGCCATTGATGGAGAAGCGGTGGCGCCGGATGCGCCGCTGGTCGCTGGGCGTCCTCACGTTACCACGGCGGCGCACGCCGACATCACTGCGCGTGCGCATCAGCTGCGGCGTGTCTTCCTGCACAGGCTTCAGGCCCCTGGAGTCTGGGAAGGGAGAGGGAAGTGAGCTGGCCTTCTCCGGCACCTCTGCCTTCCAGAACACAGATGCCACAGGGCATCATTTACTGAGAAGTAGTAGCACAAAAAGGTTTGGAGTGTAGACTTCAGAGTGACTCCTTGGGTTTCAATCCCAGCTCCACCGTGGTCCAATCCCACTATAGCCTCTGTGTGTCTCGGTTTTCTCATCAATGAAATGGGGCTAATAGTAAGCCTTCATGAGACTGGGGAAAGGGTTTGGGGAGGGGGCTTTAAATGACAGAATACAGGCCAGCACGGTAGCCTAGTGGCTAAAGTCCTTCCCTTGCCCACGCCAGGATCCCATATGGGCGCTGGTTCATGTCCCCGCAGCCCTGTTTCCAATCCAGCTTCCTGCTTATGGCTTGGGAAAGCAGTGGAAGATGGCCCAAGGCCTCGAGACCTGCACCTGTGTGGGAGACCCACAAAAGGCTCCTGGCTTCAGATTGTTTCAGCTCTGGCCATTGTGGCCACTTGGGGAGTGAACCAGCGAATGGAAGATCTTTCTCTCTGTCACTCCTTCTCTCTGTAAAATCTGCCTTTCCAATAAAAATAAATACATCTTTAAAAATTTTTAAACAAGAGAATACATAAACAGCTCTTAGTGCCACGCCTGGCTTGGGAAACGCACAATTGAAGCTGCAACATGGAAGAACCTTGAGGATGGTACAGTTAGTGCAGTCAGTCACATAAAGGCAAATCCCACACAGAGCCCCCACACATGGTGCACACTGAGTGTGCAGCCGCAGGGGCCCACGGCAATGGGGAGTGACTGGATGGATGGTGGTGGTGACTGCACAGCACGAGTGCGTCTGTCCCTCTGAACTGCATATTCGGTCATTCGTGCTGGTCCGGTGTGCTTTGTCACAACAGAAACACGGGGGATCTGGGTGGCTGGAATGTGGAGCAACAAGTAAGTGGCCGCCTGTGACGCCGGCATCTCATGTGTGCACCAGTTCAAGTCCTGGATGCTCTGCTTCCAGTCTGGCTCGCTGCCAAGGTACCTGGGAAAGCAGGAGGAGCTGCCCCAAACCTGGGCTCTTGACACTCATGTGAGCGACGCGGATGGAGTCCCTGGCTCCTGGTCCAGCCTGGTCCAGCCCCGGCTGCTGCGGCCATTTGGGGAGTGAACCGGTAGACAAAAGTACCAATAAAATAAATAAATCTTAAAACTACTGAGAAAAATGATCCTTAGTAGAGCAATAAATACAAATATATGGAGTTCCTCTGGCATATCTTTTATCTATAAACATAAAACACATAGATTGAGAATCTCATTTAGATTCATGTTCTTATTAAAATATATTGAATTATTACATACATGTAATCTATTATATGTAATACAAAGATATTGTAAGTTGATAACATCTTTCAAAATTACAAATGCTCATAGCCTCAGATTCAGCAACTCTACCTGAAAGAATCGTATAGATGTGCTGACATGTGAAATGACACGGTACAAGGCCAGCAGCTGGAGCCTTGATAGTCACAGCCAAGACTGGCCATGTCTATCCATTGGAAGAATTAAACAGTCATTTCTCTATATAACAGAGTACTGCAGAGCTGCCAAGAGCCAGAAAGGCTGCGTGGATTTGTAGACATCACACCCTGAGATAAACTAATAGAACAGCCATGTGCAAATGCTACCACTGCAGGGTGGGCATTTGGTCCAGCACTGGCTGCCCATTCAGACACTCGCATCCCACGTCGGAGTGCCTGGGTGGCAGCTCTGACTCCTCAAACTCCATCTTCCTAGTCATGTGCACTGGGAGGCTGCAGTGATGGCTCAGGCAGTGGCATTCCTGCCAGGCACAGAGACCTGAACTGCATTGCTAGCTCCCGAATGGGCCTCTCTCAGCCCCGGCTGTCACATCACGACACCGAGTGAACCACAGGAAGGGAAATCTGTCTCTCTCCCACACTCACACACTGTGTGTATGTGTGTGTGTGTGTGTGTATGTGTGTGTGTGTGTGTGTTTCTGTCTCCAATGAATATTTTCTAACAGAATAGTAATCCCATGTGCACAGGCATGCAGAAGCTTCACAGCTGTCTAGAAGGGTATGTCAGGGTATATGTGTCTAGGCAGGTGTTTGCCTCCAATATCTTAAGATATAGCTCAGTCAGCTTGCTTTTAGGGAGAGAAATGCAATAATGGGTGGCTCATGTGGGAAGACTTTCATTCGTTGCTTTTAATACTTGTTGAACCCTGAGCCATATTGATTTTACATATGCACGCATAAGCCACAGTCCCCAGCATCTGTCACAGTGGGTTTTGTATGTTGGTCCCTTAACCAGAGGCATCCCCCTTCCACCATGCACATACCTGTGGGGCTCAATGACTGCTCGCTCTCAGCTGGGGCATCCACCTCTGAGATCTGAATGTTGGGCATGGTGAGGGGCTTCAGAATGGCGCTGGGGGGAGGGCAGAAACAGTAGGGAGATCACTTTAGCCCCTACAAGGAGACCTCCTCCCTCCTTCCCTTTCGCCCACCCCTGCCAGGGGCTGCTTTGCTTGTGTCACTGGAAGACTGGCCCACTTCCCAGGCTGTGCCCCAGGTGGGAAGGAGGGATACTGCAGGGAGCAAAGTCCTCTCCCAGCATCTGCTAGCAACACAGACACTCAATTCAGCAGCCCAGAACCGAGGACATGAGAACAAAACTGGTGTGTTTCTAAGCACCAACAGGCTTCATGACTTGTTTGCAAAACCCAAATAATGGCCACTTGTTTCTCAGGACAGGATTCTAGTTGAGGGTCATTTATGCAAGAGGAATAACTCATTGATTGTTTCTGGAGCCTAAAGGAGCTGGCAAGCGATGGAGAGGTCACTGCCAGGCTCTGGGCAGCCAGGAGCATTCTCAGCATCATAAGGAGAGTCCTCAGCTACACTGGAGAAATGGCCAGGAGACAGACAGCCCATCTGCGCTTGCTGTGACAACTGGCAAGTAATTCCTGAAGCCACAGAGGACAATAGGAGCAGCTCTGAGAAACCTGGCTCAAGTCAGCAGAGGGGCTGGCCTGCCCAGAGAGCCACCCTGACCACAGGACCATCCCGTGTGCAGGGTGTGGGTTCCTGGCACCAGTAGCAGCTGTGGGCGTCATGCTGCAGCTAGGGGAGTATTAATGGAAGACAATTCAAGGGGATTTTCTATCAAGGGCAAGTTTATAGACAGTGGGATCAGAAGATGGGATTATTTTTGGTGCATAAACAATTCATTCGCAGTTTTACACACTATACATCTTCCATGAGCTTTTCAAAGATTCTTTCTCCAACCCCCAAACTTCTGAGCCCCAGAAGAGATCTGGTCAGGGCCTCTTGAGGGTGACACTTTGCACCCACAGTGGTCACTCCTGCAAGCTGGCCCAATACCCTTCTCTCCTGCCGCAGCGAAAACTGGCCTCAGCATCCTTCTTAACACAGTGGCCCACAGATGCTACGGAGAAAGGAAAAGAAAAGCATACAGTCCAGCCAAAGGCCATGGGGCCCACTGGAATTTTAAAAATCATCTCATTAAGGGAGTGAAATGGAATGTCTTCTGGAGGTCAAGGTTGGGATTTGAACACCAAATACAGTGAACATGCTGAGAGCAAAGGGCAGTTTGACGCCACCCAAGGCCTGGTACCCAGCAGCATAGATAACAGGTCCCTTCCCTAAACTCCTTGGAAAGGACCCAGCTTGGTTCCAGGGTATGACCACACAGTAGGTTTCTCTTGATTGTAGGGGGGAAAAAAAGGTCGATTTGGCTGTGGAGTTTAACAAAATGTTCCATGGGGCCAGTAGGGCGGGCGCAGCTCTAGCTGAAATTAGAACAAACACCACTGTGGTTCTGTCTGTGGGGCCGGCACGCCCTGGAGGCAGCCAACATCAGCAAGTTCCAGAAGAGTGTGGGGTGGGGCCAGTGCTGGGGCCTGCAAACCCAAGTCCTAGAAAACTGCCAAAAGGAGATCTCAGCAGGTGCAGCCCACTCCTCGGCTGGCCACGGAGTCACACGCTCAGTCTTCATACCCCTTCTGGTGGGGGACCTGGAGGCTCGGGAGCAGGGGGAGGTAGTGGGAGTGGCCTCATAGGGTACTGACCACCACCATGCTTCGACTGCACCCCAAGTGTGGCCCACTGGCTCTAGACAGGTCTGGCGGTCCCCCTTCCAGGCTCCCTCAGAAGGGGGCACTTCCCTGGCTGAGAATGTCCCAGGCACCTCCCAGTCCCGCCTGTCCCCACTCACCCCGGAGTCCCCAGGTTACAGCCAGAGTGCCAGGAGGAAGAGGATGGGGGCGGACGCAGGCGCTCATTGTCATCCTGCATCTGCAGGCGGATGGGCCGGCGCAGACCCCAGGAGATGTTCAGCAACCCCTCCACGATGAACTCATCTTCTTCCTGCCGACAGAGCAAGCCACCGGCCTGATGAGCCCCGGCCACAGGCCACGCATTGCATCTCCCATACCCAGACTCCAAGACACTGGCGCCTGGGAACTGGCAATGAGGGGCGTCAGCCAAGCTCCTGCACAGCACAAAGGCAGGCGCCAGTTCCTATACGCCCATGCAAACAGCAGAAACATGTCTCATTATTTCTACATATTTGACTTTACAGTAGTCAGCATGTATCTTTTTAAAGGGAAACCTGCCTCAAAAACAAGTAATGAGTCCTCTTTTCAAATGCTTATGATCATATCACATTAAATATCTTTGTCATAGCTTCACATTTTAACTGGACCCACAACTGTAAGAATTCACATCCAACAAAGTGCATCCTTGGAGGGCTCCCTTCCTTCCCCCTGCTTTAGGAAGCTGGGGCTTCTCGCTCTAACGGGTACGGGACAATCCTGGGTGCTACATGGAGGAGGCGGGAGGCAGCACTTCCCCCTAGCTGATTCTCCAGTTCGTTGGCTCCCCTGCTTCTGTAAAAGGGGGTGCTGTATGACCATGAGCTGGGAGAGTCTGTGCTCATTAAATTGCATAACCACGGGACAAGGTGGCACTGCTGCTAAGTTCTCACAGGACATCACAATGCTGCAAGGAGTGAGAAATCCTGCAGGAATCCCAACTCTGTCCTCAGAAGATGTTGCCAAGGAGGAGGTTAAATGTGACTTTTATACATTCTATCCCGAAGAAGTGGTTTTTGTCCCTGACCACAACATCTTTTTATCACAAATTATTTGCAGGATTTTTTCTATAAGATCTTCCCCAAACCAAAACTTGCTCATGGCCCAAGCACTAATTTATCGAAGACTTGGAGGCCAGGGCCAGCATGATGGCTCAACCAGTTAATCCTCCGCCTTGCAAATGCCAGCATCCCATATAGGCGCTGGTTCATATCCATATTCCTTGCTTCCCATCCAGCTCCCTGTTTATAGCTTGGAAAAACAATGGAGGATGGCCCAAGCCCTCGAGACCTGCACCTGTGTGGGAGACCCACAAAAGGCTCCTGGCTTCAGATTGGCTCAGTTCTGGTTGTTGCGGCTACCTGGGGAGTGAACCAGCGAATGGAAGATCTTTCTCTCTGTCACTCCTTCTCTCTCTTTAAAGTCTGCCTTTCCAACAAAAATAAATAAATCTTTAAAAAAAGAAACAACTTTAAGGGCTGATTTTGTGGCATATTAGGTTAAACAGCCACCTGCAGTGCCAGCTTCCCATGTGAGTGCCAATGCTCCATTTCTGATCTAATTCCCTGCTAATGTGCCTAGAACGGCAGCAGAAGATGACCCAGCTACTTGGGTCCCTGCCAGCCAGAGAGGAGACCCAGTTGGAGTTCAGAGCTCCTGGCTAAGCCTGGCACACTTCTGGCCATTTGAAGAGTAAACCAATGGACAGATGATCTCTCTTTCTGTCTCTCCCTCCCTGTCTGTAACTTTGCCTTTCAAATAAATTTTAAAAAACAAACAAACAAACAATAACAATAACAACAACAAAAACCACCACAACTCTTAAAAAGAACCCGGCATGATAATGTAGCTGTTAAAGTCCCCGCCTTGAACGCGCCAGGATCCCATATGGGCGCCGGTTCTAATCCCGACAGCTCCACTTCCCATCCAGCTCCCTGCTTGTGGCCTGGGAAATCAGCAGAGGACAATCCAAAACCTTGGAACCCAGCACCCACGTGGGAGACCCAGAAAGAGGCTCCTGGCTTCAAACTGACTCAGCTCCAGCCCTTGTGCTCACTTGGGGAGTGAACCAGTGGACAAAAGATCTTCCTCTCTGTCTCTCCTCCTCTCTGTATATCTGACTTTCCAATAAAAAATAAATAAATCTTTTAAAAAAAATCTTAACAAACCAATAGGACAGACTCAAGGACAGCATCTAACGGGGTCTGGCTTCCTCATGGCAGCCTCAGAAAAACCTTCTTGAAGTATGGAAGAGCCCACAGGTATCGGACCCGTGTTCTGGCCACATGTTCAGGACAAGGCTTGTGGGTGATCATGGTACCTGCTCAGTGAATAACAGATCTCGGCTTCAGACCCTGCACAGAGAGAGAGGAGCAAACACGAGAGGGCAGGTAGAGATGCAGCAAGCCTTCGGAAACTGTGGGAGGACAAGGCGAAATACAGCTTCCAGAATGTCAGACCACAGGCCTGAAGGGCAGAGTCTAACCCCAATAGGACTTGAACTAAGGGGAGTGGTTAGAGGCCACCACACTCCACATCTATGCCTAACTAGCATGCCTTAGGAGCTGAAACTCTACTGTTTGCTAAGCATTTGTATGGAATAAGTCACCATGGCTTGATCACCCAAAAGTCTGTCTCAAAGAGAATTATGCATACCTCCGTATCAGTCAAGAACAATCAAGCATAAGTTACTCCAGCAGGTGACTTTATAACTCCTGTCTATCTGATAAAGGGCTTTACAGAAATGGATACAGGATGAGTAAGCTTAGATTCAGGGTGTGGTGGGAGCTGCAGAGAGTCAGGCAGGAAACAAAGGGTGTTCGAGAAGGTTGCCAGCCGACTGCCATAGGTATGGGCACAGGCCAAGGGTCACCCTGGGAACTTTCAGGACTCGCTCGGGTCCCTGCCTAGGGGACTGGGCACGGCTCCTGAATCCTGCTCAGGGCTCAGCTCATGTCCTGAAGTCCACTCCTCTTGAAGGTTGCACCTGCCCAGCCACACTTCAAGAGGAAGGCTCTGAACAGAAAAACACCCTTTTCAGGATAAAACTGGGCCTGTGATCTCCTTCCAAAAAATGCCCAGGACTCAGACTAACATCCTCAATGTGTGAGAGGCCAGTCTCTGGGTCAGCGGGATGGACTCAGGGTCCCTCAAACCCAGCAGGCACAGAGACAAAGCCAAGGCATTCCCAGCTCAGCCTCCCAGCCCTTCTTGGGGTCCACGTACCTCTCGGTGCCGTAGCTGCAGATTCTGGCCCTGGTAGTACAAGTTGTAGGTCTTCAGGTGCACGAGAAGTTCATTCCTTTAGTAGGGGAAACGTGACAGTGTGACTTTCCCACCCGACACCATTTAGAATACAGCTGTCCCTCATTTTTTCACCCCTCTCCAGGCCTCTGTCATCCCACTGTGAGTGCCTATGTGAACATACACGTAGTAGGTCCACACTCAGCAGTCCATCGCCATCTTCCCCCATGATCAAGATCAGCTGTAAACCCCAGTCTGCAACAGACTGGCAGAGAGCAGCGACCCCAGAACGCGCCTCATCTGCAGCAGGACTGGCAACCTGTCCACACTCCCTCCCCCGGCCTGCGGGATACAGGTGGGAACGAGAAGGCGGGGACTTCTCCATGGCCTTTCCTGCCTCATGAACCCTGTAAGCGAGGGGTGGACCATTGCCACTAGCCTTTGCGGGACTCAGAAGATTCTTGGTTTTTCAGAAGAGTGGACGACACAGGCCGGGCCACACCGACACAGCTACAGAGCTATAATCTTGTCCTGAGTTTAGCATCCTACAGACTACCATCCTCAGAGCAGGAGAGCATTTGTTCTATGAATCTATTTACATAAAGATCCAAATTGCAGCGTCAGAATCTGGAAAAAGCCCAGATGGCCCAAAACCTTGGGACCCTGCACCCATGTAGGAGACCCGGAAGAAGCTCCTGGCTTCAGATCGGACCAACTCCAGCCATTGCGGCCAGCTGGGAAGTGAATCAGCAGATGGAAGCTCTTTCTCTCTCTTTTTTCTTCCCTGTAAATCTGCCTTTCCAATAAAAATAAATACATATTCTTTAAAAAAAATTTTTTTAAACACCAAAACAAATTCAGAAACAGCACATCTCAAGTTGTATCAGATGGTATAATCTGGCATATGTTGGTTTCCACACAGCTGCCCCGCGAGGGAGCACAGCTCAATAGGACGTGGCCAGAAATGAGAGCTCACACACGCTGTTTGGGATCAACACGCTGTTTGGGAAAATCCCTCGCTGGACTTGAGAGCACGTGAATCAAGGTTAGAGTGACTTGTGTGCTCTCTCGCTGCAGGCTGCGCCCATGCGTATGACCTTGTCCCACACACAGGGGTCCGTGCCTCGGAGGCGGGGCCCTCCATGCGAGCATCTCTAGGAGGCAGGTGCCCTCTGGTCTGCAGGTGCACTGACCTTAGAAGGGATTAAGATGACACTGTGGGACCCCAGGCTAGCCTCAGGAAGGCAAGTAGGCCATGTGACCACTCTCTCTGACATGTGTCCTTTGACAGTCCAATACTGCCCATCACAGCCCATCGGCACCACGCTCTCAAACCTCAGCACTTGCGAGCTCTGGCACCTCTTTCCTCCGTAAATACATCCGGTCTGGGGTCTTTTGCTATAGTAACAGAACATAGACCGACACAGTGGTTGCACGGGCTGCTGTGAGCATTGGCCTGTTCTCAGGCAGGAAGTGACAGACTTGGCCCTTGTAAACGCAGCCACTTCATGGAGGTATTTTGGACGACGCCGAAAGTCAAAAGCTGCTAGACAGTCCAAGAAATTCCTGACGAGTAAAACCCAGACAAACTGGAGTCATGGCAAGCAAACCAAAAGGAATTAGTGGGCAGCGTGACTCCAAATACCTTAGCACAAAAGCCTTGGATTCTTTGGAACACACAGATCCAAGGCCAGGATTTCAACTTGCTCGTCGGTAGGGGAAGTGCTGGGGGGCAATCATTCTGTGCAGAGCTAAGAACACTGCAGTCTCACCTCGCAGCCTGTCTCTGTATGACCAACTGACTCAAAACACTCAGTCTCAGAGAAAGTAAACATCTAACAGGGGCTACATTCTGCTGCCTGGTACACCCCTACTGCTGTGCCTGGGGAGGCGGGGGAAGATGGCCAGGGTGCTTGGGTCCCTGTCACCCGCAGCGGAGACCCAGATGGAGTCCCAGGCACCTGGCATTAGCCTAGACCAGTCCAGGGGAGTAAACCAGCAGATAAAAGATATTGTATCTGTCCCTTCTCTCTTTCACATAAATAAATTTTTTTTCAAAAAAACATTTCATTAAAATCAAAAGAGCCAATATGTAGGGCCTGGCACCAAGGCTCGGTAGCAAAGTCCTCGCCTTACATGTGCTAGGATTACATATGGGCACTGGTTTGTATTCCGGCTGCTCCACTTCCCATCCAGCTCCCTGCTTGTGGCCTGGGAAAGCAGTCAAGGACAGCCCAAAGCCTGGGGACCCTGCACCCGTGTGGGAGACCTGGAAGAAACTCCTGGCTCCTGGCTTCAGATTGGCTCAGCTCTGGACATTGCAGCCACTTGGAGCATGAACCAGCAGATGGAAGATCTTCCTCTCTGTCTCTCCTTTTCTTTGCAAATCTGCCTTTCCAATACAAATAATAATAGATCTTAATTTAAAAAAAAAAAAAAGACTACCACCGTGGGAGTCAGGTTTCCAAACAAGAACTTTGGCGATGGAAGCAGGGACACACTCAGACCACAGCCAGCAGCTACTAGCTAACTCCTCCTCCTGGAAGCCTTCTAAGACTCTATTTCTTTGAACCTCTCCCCAAAAGTTTTTGAGTCCCCTGTCAGGTCCCTCTCTAGGCCTGGCCCTGGGAGTCCTGATTTTTATCCATAGCAGTGGCCACACTGATGCGCTCCCTAGCCCAAATTCAGCTGTTGGTTCCTTCTCACATACAACGCACCTCGGCTCTCTGATGTACCCAGGAGACTCAACTCCGATGATGGCTTTTTCAACCCACAATGAAGACTCCCCACCCGGGACTGACTCCTGAGAACCCAACGCAACAGCAAAAATCTTACTTGGAAATGTATTTATCTTGTCCACATGGGACGAGGGAGGTTTGGGGAGTATAGTCCATTCCTACTTGCTCTTTTCATCAGAAAGAGACCTGCAGGGAAAAAGACAAGACAGAGGTTAAAGACAGGTGTGTTCTTGGGAACTTGCGCAACCTGAGTGAATGAGGGGAGCACACAAAATGGGGTTCTCCATTCCTGCCCCCCGACCCACACGCTTGGCTGCCCCTTCAGTGACATTGGGCTGCTGTCTCTGCACAGCAAACAACCCAAGGGGAACAGACGAGACTCGGACAGGCTGAGACCAGACTCCAACACAGAAAACATGAGCTCTCAAGCTGGTCCCAAGAGTGACCAGTGAGCCCCTCCCCGGGGGACCCTCCGACTAGGGCCACATCCTGAAGATCGCAGGTCACCACAGACACCCAAATATAGACTGTTGGAGACACAGAATGAAAAAGATGATTTTGACACACACAAAAAGGTTAGTACTCTATGTACAGTTTCTTTCATTACATGAATATTGCGTGCACTTTCAAAGACTGCTTGTAGAGCTGGGTGCAATGGGTCACAGCATTTACTCTGACTTCCAGGAAAACAGGATTCTGTGAAAGGCAATGGGCAGGCGTGGGAACACAGCAGTACTTTCCAAAAACCCAGGTTACAGAACTAGGAGTCCAGTTCTGCTGAACACACATGAACATTAAGCATCTGTGTTCACAAGGTGTATACACATTACAGTGCTTCTCAAGCTGCACCACCCCTTGCTGCAGTCTGTCTTAGGGGATGGAGTTGGCTGGCTGCATCCCTGGCTTCCACCCACATGATGCCCAGGTCAAGAGGAGCACAACCATCTCCCGACATGCCAAGTGTCCCTGGGACACACCGCCCCCAGGAGAGAACTGCGGTGCTTAGATAGGAGGGCGTCTTCCAAAAGTTTATGGACAAATGTGGTGAGAAAAAAACTTCTCAAGCATTTAAAAAAATGGCTGCTCCAGAATAAACAAATCATTCCATTCAATTTGCCTAAAAACTTTTGGAAGGGGGCCCAGCGTGATGGCATAATGGTTAAGGTCCTCACCTTGCACACGCCAGGATCCCATATGGGTGCTGGTTCTAATCCCGGCAGCTCCACTTCCCATCCAGCTCCCCACTTGTGACCTGGGAAAAGCAGTCAACAGCCCTGAGCCTTGGGACCCTGCACCCATATGGGAGACCCGGAAAGAGGTTCCTGGCTCCTGGCTTTGGACTGGCGCAGCGCCGGCCGTTGCACTCACTTGGGGAGTGAATCATCGGATGAAAGATCTTCCTCTCTGTCTCTCCTCCTTTCTGTAATTTGCCTTTCCAATAAAATAAACAAATCTTAAAAAAAAAAAAAAGAACTTTTGGAAGTAAGCTTTTAGATGTATGTAAATGATTGGACAAAAGGAACTCTGTTGAAACATGCTATCCTAAGTTTCAAACATAACATATGATAAAAGGCAAATGCCCTTAATATATGAAGGTTTTAATTAATAAATAAATAAGAAAAATCCTACAGTTATGTTTTAAAATAGGCAAAATGCATACAAACAGTGCATGGAAAAAAGAATACAGATCGTTAATAAATCATAGAAAAAATGCTCAACCTCCCCCATGACTTCTTTCACTCACCATATAGATGCAAACAGGAAGTCTAAAGTCCCCAGACAGCGGGGTTCTCTAGGGCCCTATCCCGTTCCACCTGCTGGGTGATATGACCAAGGCTACAGCTACAAATCCAGCCCACAGACTCACGAGGCCTCATCTCCATCCCTGGCCCAGTTTCCTCCCACATTTCTTCTTTTTCATTTAAGATTCATTTGTTTTTATTTGAAAGGTGTATTCTACAGGAAATGGAGAGACAGAGGGGTCTTCAGTCTGCTGGTTCACTCCCCAAATGGCCATTAACAGCCGGAGCTGAGCAGATCCGAAGTCAGGAGCCAGGAGCTGCTTCTGGCCATCCCACATGGGTGCAGGGCCCCAAAGACTTGGGCCATCCTCTAACTGCTTTCCCAGGCCACAAGCAGGGAGCTGAACTGGAAGTAGAGCAGCTGGGATACGAAGGTGCCCGTATGTGATACAGCCACCACTGTGCCAGACCCTGTCTTTCTTCTTAACTTATGCATTTACAGGGAAAGGAGACTTCAGAAAATACTTGTCCAGCCCACTGCACGGTAGAACTGAAATGGCAGGCCCTTCAAGGACCCTGCCCCTCCTCGGTCTAGTTCGATACGTGCATTTCTGATCACCCACTTCCCAACAGGGCCACAGGCCGCTGGCCCAGCCCAGCTGAAAACCCCAAGCTAAATTTACATAGACATTCAGACAAACACAGAGCAGCAGCAACAAAGGGCCGGAAGCTTAGAATTAGGTCTGATATTCCTTAAACAGTGTATTGTTCCTCGTGCAAGGAAGGGCCAGAGGAAGACACTTTATGGGGCTGGAATGCGGTCTCAATTGGAGACTTCCTCTGGCGGTACCTGCCAATATCCGCAGCCTTGCAGACAGAGATTCACTCAGCTGACTGACTGCAATGCTTCTGCCTTCCCTGCTGTTATCTAGAACGTATGGAGCCTTTCTGGGTTCCAAAATATCCTGTAAAGGAATAATTTATTAGCCCCACTTCCCACGTGCCTGGGAAACTGGGACTGATAGTCACCATGGCCATCAGAGCAAGGCAGGGAGGAGAGAGGGGTACTCCTTAGGGCCAGCAAGCATCTCTGTATAGCTCACCCACCAGAGCAAGGAAGGAAGAGGGAGAAAAGAGATGGAGGTATGTTCTATACACACCACTGTGCGAGAGTCTAAAACACTTGTAAATGCACTGAGTCCCCTCCAAGAACATAGTGATTTATTCCTCAGGAATTATTTTTCTCTCCCTTTGGAGAGGTAGGGTAAGGGGAGGGATATGACAATGACAGCACAGATCGCTCCCATCTGCCATGTCACTTCCTCAGTGCCTGCTGCAAACACCAGGGCCACAACCAGCAGCTGGGGCTGCAATTCAGCCATCCTTATGGGTGATAGGACCCAATTTTTTAAAAAAAGATTTTATCTTTAATTTTATTTGGAAGGCACTGTTATAAAAAGAAAGGGAGACACACAGAGATCTTGCATCTACTGGGTTCATTCCCCAAATGGCTGAAATAGCTGGGGCTGGACCATGCCAAGATGGGAGCCTCGAGCTTCTTCTGGGCCTCCCACAATGGTGCAATGGCCCAGGTACTTGGGCCATCTTCTGTTGCTTTCCCAGGCTTATTACCAGGGAGCTGGAACAGCCAAAACTCAAACCCAAGCCCATAAGGAACGCTGGTCCAGGAACCCATTATTTGAGTCATCACAATTGCCTCTTAGGCTCTTCATTGGGAGGAAGCTGGAGTCTGGAGTTTGAGTTGGGAACTGAACCACCCCAGCCTCCCCACCCCCAGCATTTCAACATGGCACATGTACTGTTGTGAGGTAGGCAGCTGGTTCAGGGTCAATAGCTTGAAAGCCACTCTCCCCCGACCTAGGCGACGCTCTGCCCACCTGTGATGCTTACCTATCATCTCCTGGTACCTGAGAGGGGGCGGTATTGCATTGTTGTGTAACCACTCCCTGCACATGCCCCCATAAAGGCCATGATAGCAAGAGGCTCACTCTCTCGGTCACGTGCTTCCATCACTCTGGCACTCTGACTCTTGGCCTCACCAGCATCTGCTTGCTCTCTGACTTCCCATGGATAGACTCCAAGGACAGGTATCACCTGAATATGGCCCCTGTGTATCTGTATTCCTCACCCTCTGTTCACTGCTTGGGTGGGACAGTGAAGATATTAATGCTACTGGGGCCGGCGTGGTGGCGCAATGGTTGAGGTCCTCACCTTGCACGCCCGGAATCCCATATGGGTGCCGGTTCTAATCCCAGCAGCCCCGCTTCCCATCCAGCTCCCTGCCTGTGGCCCGGGAAAGCAGTCGAGGACGGCCCAAAGCTTTGAGACCCTGCACTCGCCTGGGAGACCCGGAAGAGGCTCCCGGCTTCGGATCGGCATAGCATCGACCGTTACGCTCACTTGGGGAGTGAATCATCGGACGGAAGATCTTCCTCTCTGTCTCTCCTCTCTGTATATCCGCCTTTCCAATAAATTTTTTTTTTAAAAAAGATATTAATGCTAAGATGCTTTGTATTTCTGATTTGTGCAGCATCAGGAGTTCCAGGAGAGGTGAGGCCTAGCAGTAACGGAATGTGAGCCAGGGAAAGGTGGATGTTGGCAGCTTTGTAAGTGTGCTCAGGTTGCTCGCTAGATGTCTCAGGATAACTTATATTGCTGGGGAAGCTGGGACATAGGTCTTCAGTTTAATAGATGGATTTCAGGGTAGTGACCATTTGTTCTTGGGGTTTCAATTCAGACTGGATTGCCATATGAATCTGTCATTTGCCAATTTCCAGTGGGCCCTGTTAACACTGGTTAAAAAAAGACTGCTTAATAAACCCTAGACTTGTCTGGCAAGATCTTGCTTGTACCCCACAATAGCATGTCTTAACTCCTGGGTTAAATGCTGTCAGTCTTAGGAATCCTAAGGACTCTTTAGAAATGCCACTCAGGAAAGCAAAGTACCTATTGGCTAATCTGCTGTATTTGCCACTGAGTTTTGCTGGGGTTGCCTACTTGGGACATGAGCTTCCCAGGTGCTAGATAAGCTGAACTCATGTTGGACTCCCATGGGACCACCACCCTCCCAGCTCTGGCTTCATGTTTTGGCAGAATGTTCTATTGAACTCCCAATGATGCCATGTAGTTGGTCAACGGAATCGAACATGCCCCATGCGGAGACCCATGTACAAAGTCCTGTCTGCTCCAGAGAAGCTCTGAGACATGACCTTTCCCAAGCTACAAGAGAATGCCTGGAAGATTCCTCAGCAGCCAAATGTAGCCATAGCCCAGCTTTGGGGAACTTGCCATGCTCTGTGGGTAAATCCTCGCCCCTCCTCAAACCCAGATCAGCTTCCCACTGAACTCTCCTGCTGTCCCTGGGCAGTGCCAGGGGCCAGGCCCTAAGTCCTCAAACCCTACCCCTACCTCCCAGCACTCACTATCTTCCTGTAGCCTCCTCCAGTGTGTCTCCAGTTCCCTAGTCTGTGCCTCTGGGTCCTACAGGGGTCCTATGTCACCATGAAGTCTTTAAGGGAGGGACCGGGCTGCACAGCATTGTGGGGAAGGTCATAATGCTTGAGTCAGGAGACCCTCCGAGCACAGACTGAGGAGGCATTTGGGCACGTGGTTTCCTGAGGAAGTGTCTGCAGAAGAGGCTGCCAGGGGGTGAGAGAAGTGGGACCAGGCAGGGGAAGGAGCTGGGGGCCTGAGTTCAGCTGCAGACAGAACTGTCTGAGCCTACCACACTGTGGCTACCTGGGAGTAGGTGGGCCAGGCCTTCGTGTCCCTGAACCCTGGGAGGAAGGATGCTCTCCACTCCAGGCACCTGCTGCCAAGAACAATTGTTAAAACTCGTGAGCTGGCAACACTCAGAACCTGCAACAGAGCAAGTGGCACTGCACCTGTGCCTCGCCTGGGGTTGAAGCACCTACTGGCTCTGTCACCTTGCCCCACCTACCCCCTAGGCAGCTGTCCTCTGCTTGTGTAGGTGTGCAGAGCCAGGCTGCGGGGGTCAGGTACTTACCCACTCTGCCCCAGCTCCAGGCCAACCCTAAGGCAGCTGCACAAAGCCCCCTTTCCTCGCCCTTGGCCCAGCCCCAGCTCACAGGTGTTTCCAGCTTCCCTAAGAACAAGCAAGCAGCTGTCCAGGCCCCTGCAATTCATAGGCTCAGCTTCCTGTAGGGTAGCAAATGCCACATGCCCACAGAGTTCTGAGATGGGGAAAGGCAGCCAGCACTCTGCAAACACAACAGAATCCCCTGTTCTCAGTTCTTGGTTCCTCCAAACACTGATGCCCTCACTCCCTACCATCCAGAGGCCCAGAGAACACAAACGTTGGCTCTTCCAAACCCAGGTGCTTTTCCAGCCCTGGGACTACTCATCTCAGAAAGTCCCCAAGGCAATAGGGCAAATGTAAAAGGGACAGGCGTGGCCCTATCAGGAAAGTCCAGAGTGACTTTGGTGGTGGTGGTGTTCTTGTTTCTCATTTCCCAGCTCGCCTTCCTAGTGGGCCAGCAGGAGGTAGGCCCTCCCTAGCCAAATGTAGCTCCCAGGAAGGATGCAGGGAGCCGGGAGAGCCAGATCTCAGGCCTGCTGCAAAGCAAGCACTCCCTGGAGACCCACAGCTTCCTCTTTTGGGGCCTGACCCCACCTCTTCTCTGAGCCCTATCCTTCCCTCTGAGGACAACTGAGATCTGCCGAAAAAGTTCTTTCGCCCCTCAGTGTGAAGGACTATCTTGTCCTGGCCTCCTGGGGGCGGGGGGAGGGACTCTGGGGAACCTGCTGTGTTAGCCAGGTAGCAACAGAGCAAATGGGGCTGAGCCCCCTGCTTCCCACCCCCTGCACATGGGGAACAGGAAGAAGAGTAGATGGCAAACAGGAAAGCCCAGCCCCATTGTGCCACCCGAGGAAGGAGTCTTGAGCTGCTGGCTGGGGCTCTGCCAAGATCTCATCTAGAGAAGACAAGAGAGTCTGCGTGGTTCTCAAACCTGAGCCTGCCCATGGGCAAAACTCAGGCTGCCTTAGAAGAAACTAAGACAAGCGTCGCTTCCTGCACTGGTGTTTATTCAGTAGGAGGCCACCTCAGGGCCTGGCTGTGTCCTCTATGGGACCTGCTGCCCCTGCAGATCCTTCCCCATCCCCTCTCTCGGAAGCAGTGTCCAGACCCTGCCACCCCCCTGCACCCCATCTGCCATGGCTCAGCCAGCTACCCTGCTCTGCTTGGAAGAGGCCCTAGCACCAAGGTCACGTGACCACAGGGAGGGGCACTCCACTTTCCCAGCTTCACTTGGAACCGTGAGCAAAACATTCAGCACCTCTCCCCTCAAAAGAATTTTTAAACACATCAGGGAGGGGACAGGGCCGGGGGATGGGGTAAAAAAGAAATTGCCTGAGAAGGGACAGCACCTTTGGAAGCAGTTGGAAAAGGGCGAAGACCCATAAAGGCCTTCAAAAACCACGTGGTACGGTGGGCATGGGACCCCGAGGACACCCACATCCCTGTCAGATTATCTGAGTTTCAGTCCTGGTTCTGACTCCTGATTCCAGCTTTCTGTTAATGTTTAGCCCCTGGGAGGCAGCAGAGATGGCTCAAGGAACTGACCAGGTCCCTGCACCCCTATCCTGGACGTCAGGGTGAAGTTCCTGGCTCGTGGATTCAGCTCAGGGCAGCCCCAACCCAGGCACCAGGAGCCGCAAGCATTCGGGGAATGAACCAGCAGGCAGGAGCGTTTACTTTAACTTACTCAGTATTACTCTTCCCCTCCCTGCCTCTCAAATTAAAAAAAAAAAAAATTTCAAATACAGATTTCTGCCTACGCCCTGTTTCCAATCCAGCAGCTCCAGGATGGGGTCTGGGACGGTGGTGGGTGATGCTTCCCACAAGGCACTCCCTGGGTTGTCCTGTTTTCAGCATTGCACAGCTTGGTCCTATAGAAGGTTCCAGAAGTTAGAAACCTGTCTCAGGACACATGCCACATGATGTCCCGTGGGCTCCCTCTGCCAAACCTGGCTGAGGGTCGGACGGGGGATTGGGCAAGGGATACGATGGGGAAGAGAGTAAAGAGAATAAGGGACAAGCCTGGGGCAAGCTATGCGGCAAGTAGACCCAGTGGGACTGGGTCAGGAGACGTGGCAGGGAAGCCAGAGCACCTGCAGGTGTAGAAAAAGAGCCACTCCTCTTCCTCACGGGCCCATAAACCCTCACCACCAGAACCTTGGGAAATGCCTCCATGCCTCCCAAACCCCAGGTACCCCTGGCAAGGTGTGGAAGGGTGGGCTGCAAGGCTCTGGATTGCCCAGAAGATTCCAGGAAGTACCTGGGCCATCTCCCCTGGACACCTCAGGTAACCGCAGGCCTGGAGAGCAGCTCCCCACTGCCAAGATGCCCCTGTGGCCACATGGCCTTCTGGCCTCAGGGCTGGCCTCTAAGCAGAGAACAGGACGTGTTGCATGGAGCAAAGGAAAAGGCATAAGCGAAGTGAAATCTCGAGGCCGGACAGCTGCATATGTGTGAGCGTGAACGTGTTGTAGACACAGTGAATGGCTGTGGGTGTGTGCATTGTGGGTGTGGCGTAGTGTGTATGCGTGGGGGTAGGGCAGGCGGTGTGTGTAGAGTAGGGGTGAGGTGAGTGTGTGCACGCTCAGAGCGTGTGGGAGTGTTGGGTGTGTGTGTACATAGGCGAGTGGGAGGGGTATGAATGGGTTGCAGGCCGGGTGTGTGTGTGTGTGTGCATGCGCGTGCAGGTGTAGAATTCAGGATCTCGTCCAGCGTGTCGGGTTCTGCCTGCCTCCCTGGGCACTGCCTCCGTCACCACCAACCAGAGGGGCCAAAACAGCTTCAGATTCACCCAAGTGAGAAATTGCGTGGGACTCGTTTGGCCCAAGGGAAGAGCGCAGCCCTGATGGAGTGGTGAGCCTCAGTATTTTAAAGCAAATAAGACAGAAGAGTCCCTGATCTGCAGCTATGTTGTCTATTTTTATTTGAAAAGCAGAGAAAGAGAAACTGAGAAAACACTTCCATTCACTTGTTCACTGCTCAAATGTCAGCCGGACCAGGCTGAAATGGGGAGCCCGGGACTCAGTTTGGATCTAATGTGTGGCTGGCAGGGAGTCAGTACTGTTCTCTCTCAGAAGTGCACCTTAGCGGGAAGCTGGAATGCTATACGGAGCTGGGACTCGAACCCAGTCCCTCGGATGCGGGATTTGGGTTTCCCAAGTGGCAGCTTCAGGGCTGAGCCAGACACTCACCTGCCAAGGGCTGTTTTCTAAAGTAGCTTTTGGCGACGTGCCAAGGAGGCCTTCTTCCTGTCCAGTAATTACAGGATTTATGTGGGGTCCTCCCTCAGGGAGGGCATGGGCACGGGTCACTGCTGAGGGTTCCCTCCGCCCTGCTGGCGCTGGCAGGTGAGGAGGGTCTGCCTCCAGGACCCCATTTCCTACAAGCGCAGGTTGCTGTGATGGCCACACTTCCTGTTTACTGCGGGGTTTCCAAGTCACTGGTCTCTATGAGATTCATCTCTGATCTCACATCCTTTTCCTGAGGGGGACCCCAGCACTTCCTTTTTTGGTGCTAAAGGCTGAGGCGCCGAGCCCCATGTGCAGAGATCCTGAGGTCTGCCCTACTTGCTACAGGCAAACAGCATTGGAAACCCCAAAGCCAGGAGGACTAGCACACTCCATCCCCAGAGATGGGCAAGTTCCCCAGACACAAGAAGCAGAAAGGAAGGGAGAAGCAAGGGCAGCTTTTGGGTAGACCTGGTCCTCCTGGGAGAGCCATCTTGGGGGCACCCTACCCCCTCTCCCTTATCCTGGCCATACCCGCACAATGCCTGTGGGAAAGTCACCTTCACACAGCAGATTTCAGATCCCCAACAGGGTGACAGGAGGGAATGGCCCATCAGGGGCTTTCCAGAACATTCTCAGGGGGCTGGAGCAAGTTCTCCACAATACCACATTCATAGCTGTCTGGCTCTGCAGTGACAAACCCAACTTCGTCAGAGGTTGCTTGTGCAATCAATCTCAACACTGCGCTCACTGTCCACTGCCCACGAGTGAAAAGGACCTTCCAGACAGATCCCTCCCAGCCCACACCCTCACCAGCAAGCTGGACACCAGGAAGGCCTGAGGGGGCTCACATAACCAGGGCATAATACCAGACTCTGGAGAGAGCCACACGCCCTGGCTCCCAGCTCTGGGTCCCATGGGTTCTTGACCTTCCTTCTCTGATGTGTCCCTCCCACTCGACCACAGCCCCTCTGCCCTCCACCCTATACACACAGCAATCCTTGTCCCATTGTCTTTATATGGGGAATATAAAGCCCTATAGGAGTATTATCTGAGGCCAGTGCCCATCTCCCCCAGAATACCCAGGGTCTCATGGACCTACTGGCTGAAGTCCTCCCCGGGCCTTGGGCCACACTCTGGAGGAAGCAGTTGCCGGCCACATCCATAGCCGCCATGATGGGCTGAGTCCAGCTGTGGTGTGGAACACAGAGAATGCGTGTAAAAGAGAAGTGGAGAGTTGTCCTCCACTTTCCAGGAAGCTGATCTCAGCCCCTCCCTTATCCACAAGGCAACGGCTCTGGGAGTAAGAGGGGCTCAGGGAACCACAGGCTCACCCTCCCAAGCCCTCTACCCCCGACACGCACACACAGGTGGGAGCCCCAAGAAGCCAGCAAGCAGCGAAGCACAGCCGCTGTGTTCACTACGCTTCTCAACCCTGGCTCCCAGCCAAGCCACAGGTGCAGAACTCACACCAGTCCCCCAGGCAGGAAGGGTGGTTGAGACCTCTGTGGCCCAGCTTGAAGCAACCGCCAGAGGACAAAGACCACAGCCCTTTCCCAGGCTCTCCTTTCTTCCACTTAAAAAATACAGACAGGCATGCAGATTAACATTCCCACAAGGATAAGTCTCATACAATTTCATCCATATGGGGTACCCAGAAGAGGCTCATCCAGGAAGACAGTGAGTTACAAGGTAGGCGACCATGTGCTAGGGAGGAGAGTGAGGGCTCAGAGGAGACCACTGCTCAGCGGGTCCAGAGCTTTGGTCTGGGATGACAGGAACATTCTGGAAATGGTAGCAATGATGGCCCATAACATCGCCAATGCACCTAACGCCACTGATCCGTACACTTTAAATAGCCACAAGGGTGAGTTTTATGACGTGTTTTACCACAGTTGAAAATGAAAATCAATGACAGTTTCTGAACCAAAACCATGAAGTTCAAAATCTCCCCAAATTCACCACCCAAGGACAACAATTCCTCCGAGCGTCTTGACACACATTTCTCTAGGTACCAATGTAAATGGGTGACATATTGTATAAAGTTGGCACGCTGCTTGGCTATTTGCTTATTAGAAACATGTTTTCCATGTTAATGGGCCTACGTTTTTATTTCACATATATTCCGTATATGTGGACCACAAATTTCACATATATTCTAGTAGAGAATATATGAATACTGTTATGTATTACATAATATATATTCTAATGCATATAACATCATTAGCTACCTTGCTGTTGCTGGAATTCAGTCTCCATTTTTTATTGATGTTGTCACCATTATAAGAACACAACAGATATGCCCATGTGTATTTTTCTGGATGTATACAGGTATATTCTGGGGATAAGACTTGCTCCCAGTGGAAGTGCTGACTCAGAGCATCCAGAGTAAGGCTGCACTTTGCTCTGCAGTGGGTTCGGTCATGTAAAGCCCCTCTCTCTACACACAGACTGCTCAGATTCCCCTTGGGAGGGGGTGTTGATGACAGCACAGTGGTTCAGACAGATAGAGAGGAAAGCTTTGGTCAGCCCAGACTAACCTAACTCTCTCCTAAGCATTGTAATTCTCCACCAAAATCCATACTCTCAAATCCATCACAGCCCTGTTCTAAAAGGACCAGTAAGAGAGCAAGTGTTTTCTCGATTTGCTGTGTATATTCTAGGGCCCTGCCTGGGTATATAAGATAGCTCACTTATCTTTATAATCTCACTGAGATAGTTACTCTCATGTTTATCTCGTAGCTGGGGGAAATACAACACTGTGACTTTACTAAAGTTTTGTTACATCTGGACCAGTGCAATGGCTCAACTAGCTAATCCCCCGTTCTATACCACTGGCATCTCACAGGGGATGGTTTCAGCTCCAGATGCTCCACTTCCAATCCAGCTCCATGCTTGTGGCCTGGGAAAGCAACAGAGGATGGGCAAAGCCTTGAGCCCTTATACTCAATGTGGGATATCCATAAGAGACTCCTGGCTACTGGCTTCAGATCAGCCATCACAGCCCTTTGGGGAGTAAATCAGATGATGGAAGTTCTTTCTCTGTCTCTCTTTCTCTCTATAAATCTGCCTTTCCAATAAAAATAAGTAAGTTCATCTTTAAAAAATGTTTTATTTTATTCAGTTGAAAGAGTGACAGAGCCATTTAACAGCCATTGGTTCACTCCCAGCTGGCCACACAGTCAGGATTGGGCCAAGCCAAAGCTAGGATCTGGGATCTCCATCTGTGTCTTCCACGCACTTGGGCCATTCTGTGCTGCCTTCTGTGCAGGGAGTTGGACCACAGGTTCCCCCAGAAGTAGACCCTGGGGGGGATTCAAGTACAAGTACAAAAGGAGTGGGCATGTAAGAGAGGGTAACCCAGAAGACAAGAGAACCAGAGACAGCAAAGAGGGGCTGGTGGTGTGGTACAGTGAACTAAGCTGCCACCTCTGTCGCTGGTACCCCACGAGTGACAGATCAAGTCCAGGCTGCTCTGCTTCCAACCCAACTTCCTGTAAATGCACTTGGAAAAGCAGTGAAAGATGGCACTTCCATCTGTTGCAGCCATTTGAAGAATGAATCAATAGTTGGAAGATTCTTCCCTCTCAGTCGCTCTTTCTCAGTGTGTGTGTGTGGGTGGGAGTGAGCGTGTATATACAACTCTACCTTTCAAATAAATAAATAGGAAGCTGCCTTGTGTTGTCGTGGGTAAAGCTACCATCTGGGGTACCCGTCCATGCCCAAGCTGCTCCACTACTAACCAGCTCCCTGCTAATGTGCCTAAGAAAGCAGCAGATGGGCCAAGCATTTGAGACCCTGTACCCACATGGGAGAACCAAGGAAGAGTGACCCAAAGCTCCTGGTTTGGGTCTTGCCCAACCTTTGCCATTGTGGCCATTAGGAGACTAAACCAGTGGATGGAGCAGCTCTCTCTTGGTCTCTCCCCCTCTTTCTTTGCAACTCTTTCAAATAAATCAATACACCTTTAAAAAGAAATAAACTGTTTTAAAGAATGAAAAAGAGAGCAAAGAACACACCCCACAGTTATGCCAATAGAGAAGTCAAAAAGTTGACATATTTGTATTCTTTCTCCCGTCAGCTGCTGCTGTGGCTATGGTCACATGGGCAGAGAACAGACAGCATCTTGCCCAGTGGTCCACAGCTGCAAAATGGGAGAACACAACCCAAACTCCAGATCTGATGCTCTTCTCATTGGACTTGGAGAAGTGAACAGCTCACCAGACTCTGAGCTATGGGAAGCAGACTGATTCCTTGGCCAAACCATTTTGGGCTGACCCAGCCAGGAAAAGCACAGTTGTCTTTTGGTCATGCAGCTCACAGAAGTAGCAAAAGCCCTTCCGGGTCATTCTTCCCACCCCACAGGACTCAACTGAATGCTCTTCCAAGCCCTCTGCTTACATGAGAGGTTTCTTTCTGAGTCGCCACAGCTGCCTGGGGCAGGAGTTCCCAAGCTAGCATGCCAGACAGCTGCATGACTCTGTGATTATAGGCTCCACAGCATCAAAAATGACCCCCTGGTGACCCAGCCAGCCAAGCCTCAGGATGTCACTCACAGTGCCCTGTATCCTCTGGGCCTCCTGCCCCATTCACAGTCTCCGGAGGAACCCACAAGCAGGCTCAATGCATGGCATGAGCAATCCCAAGCCACTGCAGCTCACCCCATCTCCAGGACTTTGTAAAACTTCTTCTGGGAATCAAGGTGGTGTCCACAGGGCTGCGTGTCACTAAGGGAAATCACTAGGCTAGACCGAGAAGCCAGATAGGGAGGCTGGTTCCCCAGCCTGCTCCTCCCAGCTGCAGCAACTCCTAGCAGCCTCAGCTGGGAGATGGAGATTGGAGGAGGTCCTATTCCAGTTCAAGGACACAGCCTCACAGCAGAGCGCAGGGGGAGGCCAAGATGCAGGCAAGCCCTAGGGCTGCACTGGCGGTCACAGCTCTACTTCCCAGCCTCCGCTGGGGCCTCTTCAGTTCCCTGGCCCTGACTCTATGACCCCCGCCTCCCACACAGCAAGGCCACTTCCTGCCAAAGAATCCCAAAGAGGACCAAGAGCAGTAATCAGGCCAAGGTCTCTGTGTGCTTTGCTGACCAGTCCCCATCGTGGTCAGCACCACAGTCACAGCCCTTTGAGATGGCGCTATGTCCCGATGCTCAGCCCAAGCATCTCTCCAGTGGACGCTCTCCACCAACTTCAGGCAGCTCACACACAAAGCACAGCCGCCAAGACTAGCTCTGGGACACCAGGAAATAGAAACAAAAGCAAACCCAGGGGCGCCTGAGCATTGGAGAGGGAGGGAGAGCCCAGAGCTTGTGACCAGAGGGAAGGTGGTCTTTCACCCTTCACTGACCCCTGAGAGTGCAAACTGGGGATGAGACCTGAGGCTCCAGACGGAAGCCACACAGAGACACAGAGAGAGGTGGATTGCGGAGCCTGCAGAGACCTTGAGATGACCCCCCGGGAAGGTAGAAACACAGCAGGTGCAGGTACAACCCTGCCCTGGCTAGAAGCAGAGGACAACCCCTCCTCTCCACCACCACCATCACCATGGCAAGGCACAACAGGTGCCCCTCATTCTAACCCGATTTCAACAGCACACAGTAGAGGAGGGCATGGAGCATGTAATAAGCTGTAACCCAAGAATTACCCAGGGTCCCCCCAGGACTCTACCTGTGCACTGCCATCTGCTGAAGCACAAATGAGACATTCAGCCCAGAAAATCTCAGACCCCAGCAGAATGCCGGGTTCGGGACTCAGGCAGCTTACCTGTCAGGTCCCTGTCTTCCCCAGGGTCAAGAGCCACCCCTCTTCCAAACTACCCACCTCTCCCTACTTAGCACACATTTGCCACACTCTCCCACCTCCAAGGCTCACTGATCTGCTAGGGCTCCACTTCCAGACAGGCACTGCACAGGGGGACACCTCAGGGAGACACTGCGTTTGGCTACACATTGAAAAGCAGTAACTCTCCTCCAACAACCCAAGGAGCCTCAGCACTGAGAGGTTTCTTTTGTGCGTTTTCCACCTGCAGAAAAAGTTGCCAGTAAGTTGTGCACCACTTGGGGTTCCCCCACCAGGCCCCTGGCTGCCTTTTCTCTTTTGAAAGAAACTGGTCTCTAATTCTTTCTTCTCCATTGTCACAGAATGCACCGCGGCGGGAACTGAGCGAGCTGCAGGAGGAATTGTCAGCTCATTGATTCTCAAGTTCATTCATCGCCTGTACTCACTGTAGCTCTGGCGGGCACCAGACACTGTGCTCTCAGGAAGAACACTCGCTAGGCCCCTGCATCCCACACTCCTGCGGATAAAGGACAGCTGGCAGTGAGAAGTCCCTTGCTTGGTTTTTTTTTTTTTTCTGTCATACGAAGGTGCCAGGGACAGCGTAGAACACCCACAACACCCCCAGAGATTAAACCCTGCCCAGGGCTTCCCAGCGTACAGCTGAGCGCAAAGCAGGCGCTGGAAATGCGGAAGTGGCAGGGGCCGCCCAGGACACCTGCCATGTTCCAAGGCGCAGAAGATGCAAAGGTCCCCAGGGACCTCAGGCACCAGCTCAGAGGGGCTAGGAGACCTCAAAAGGGAAGTGCTCCGAAGACCAGGGGGAAGGAGGCAGAAGGAGCCGTGGAGGAACACGTTGTCCCGCACGCGAGAAAAAGGGGCGGGGGATTGGGGTCCGGGACTCCCAGGAACCAACAGGACCTGCCTCGCCGGGGGACCCCGGAGACCCAGGAGTTGCGTTGGGGGCGTATCCCCGCCTTTCCTTTGGCGCTCAAAGAAGGAACGACCCCCACCCTCCACCCCAAGGATCCCAGGAGAGGACCGGATCGTAGCTGCAACTTTCTTCGCCCAGAAGGCTGGCGGGCTAGGGCCGGGTGCTACATGGCCTTTGGGAAATGGGGCGAGGACACAGCCACGGGAATGCCCGCGTGACGGGGAGGAGGGGAGGGCGCGCAGAGGCAGAAGAGGACTGACCCGCTGATCCGGTCGGGGGCACGGGCCACCGCCAAGAAAACTTTTGGACGCTAAGGAGAGGACGGCCGAGCTCTGCACCTTGCGCCCAGCATCCCGCGCTCGAGCCCCGTGCCTTGCCTGAGTCTCGGGTGAGCTTCAACCCGCGCGCTCGCCG